GAGCGTGCAGATGCTGTGCCGCGAGTGAGCCAGTACCGCCTGACGTCGCACTTGTCGCTGGCCTATCTCTTGTATGCGGGCTTGTCGCTTTATGGATGGAATGTCTTTCGTGCCAATCGCCTAGCCAACAAGAGGGTGGCCGGCGCGGAGGCCCTGCGTGCGTTGCTGCAGCGGCCAGCTGTTGTTTCTTACCGGCGCAAGGTTACTGCTGCTACGCTGCTTGTTGGCACAACTTGCCTGTCGGGTGCCATGGTGGCGGGCCTTGATGCGGGCCTGATCTACAACGAGTTCCCGATGATGGGCTTGGGCATTGCTCCGCCTCTGTCAGAACTCTGGAACCAGCACTTTGCTCGCGGTGATCCGACGGGTATGTGGCGCAACCTCACTGAAAACCCGGCGACGGTGCAGCTTGGCCACCGTACTCTGGCCATGACTACGTTCTTTACGCTGTCGGCGCTGTGGTGGCAGGGGAGCAAGCTGCCACTGCCGCGGGCTGCGCGTGTAGCCTTGCACGCCATGTATGGCCTGGCTTGGGTGCAGGTTGCCCTGGGCATTAGCACGCTCGTCAACTTTGTGCCTATTGCCTATGCTTCGGCGCACCAAGCCAACTCGGTGCTGCTGCTGGCATCTGCTTTGGGGCTCTATCACACCTTACGGCCACTGCCGCGCATTGTGCTGTGACGCGTGTTGCGGCTAGGCTAGCAGTTTAGCAAGAGGAACCTTAAATGCACAATGGCAAAGCTAAGGCGATAGTGAAAGTGAAAGTGTCTTTGTCGGCGGCAGAAAGCTACGGCGGCGCACGCCGTTTGCGACAAAGGATGGGCGTGTGGCGCAAGTAGGCGCTGGCTGCACTTGCTGGTGTAACTATATAATTTAGGTCGGCTGCAGCTGGTCCTTTTTCTCCGAGCGGCAAAGAGTCGTGTGGCCGAGTGGTTTAAGGCGGCAGTTTTAAGCACTGCTCCGAAAGGATCGCGGGTTCAAACCCCGTCGCGACTAAGTCTCTCTTTTGCCGCTCGCTTAAGGGAGCGGCAGCCTTCTTTTCACTTTTTTTTTTACCTTTTCTAGTTGCTGGCAATCGGCAGAAAGGGGCAAGGGGCGGTCCAACAAGATGGCTGTGATGCGCACGGACTGCATGCGTGTGGGAGTGAGGGGGTACGATCAGAGGGAGCAGCTGATCGAAATGAGCAGTAGACTCGATTGCACAGCTTGTTCAGGTTTTGCAAATTTGCTTTTCC